TGTCTGAGTGTAAATTATGTAAATCCTTACTCTCTGATTGTAACAAACCTATTAAAAATTATTTATTGAATGAAAATTAAAGAATTTTAAAGAATGCAGCCATAATGTTGTGCCATAAATATGGCTTATTACTTAAATTTGAATATTTGGCTAAATGACTGAGGCAAGAGAATTGAATGCTTAGAATTGTGAATTTGCAAGCAACTTTATTAATTGATAATTTAAAATTACTTTCCTTCTTGCTTTTAATGTTGGAATAAAAAAAAAATTAGATTACATATTTTCAAAAAGGGACAAACAATTAACTATAGGATTTATGGGGGAAATGCGAGCCAGTCAGATAGACTTCCTTTCAAATTATCCTTGGATACATGAAAGAAACAAATTCTACCCTCCAATAAAGAAGATTTAAAAACCGTCTGAAATGACGCAGTTTTTTGTTGCATATAAAAAGTAGTGAGACTTTTAGCAATTTTAGTATTTAAAGAAAAAAGATATCTTATTTGACACAAGTTTTGATATCTGTATTTTCAAATTGGTTTTACTGCCAATTTTCACAATAACAGATTGAAGCCCTAAACAAAAAAATATATTTTCAAAAATATATAATTATCAATAAATTAAGTTTTAGTGCCAATTTGCATTTCTGAATATGATCTATAAAGATGCTGCATTAAAATAACCACTCAAGAGAGAAATTGAAGTTGAAAATCAATTTTGGAAAAAAAAGAATATTTTCTTCATTATTTTATGAAGTCTGTTAATTAACTTCCAAATATTTCAGACATTGCATGGAAAATAAACACCTTTCTTAAAATACTGTAGATCATAATTTAGATTGTTTTCTTCCAAACACACTTAGATACAAACAGAATTGTAGAAAAAAAAATTCCAGATAGATGACATAATTAAATAACATTATATATATATATATATATATATATATATATATATATATATATATATATATGGTATTAAGAGAGATCATTATTCAAACATATATTGTTAAATATAACAGACAACAAATGTCTATTATGTTTGATCATGAGCCGTTCTAAGAATTGTATAGTGACTTTAGTTTTGAGAGAAATGCTGGACAGTTTTTATCTTTATTTTCTCCTGAAACTAAAGCCACTATATGAAGCTTAGAACGGCTCATGATCAAACATAACAGACATTCATTGTCCATTATATTTATCAATATATGTTTGAAAATATATATATATATATATACTCAACTCTCCCATCGAATTCGATGTATGAGGGTCAAGCAGATCAGTTCTAGGAAACCGACAGCCCAACAACAGCACATGAGATTTGATTCTAGTGGTGAAGGTTTCGTGCAGGACCATCCACACTTCTTGAAGGGTCGAATACAGAGACCTGGTACACTACGTTCCACAAGGTCCCCAAACGACCCTCTGCAGGTTTTGAATTCAGAGTTGTCCTTCCCCTAGACCAGTTGCCATCCAAGGCTATAGAACCCAGTCTGTAGGAAGCACGGTCAAGTAACGGATAGCGGCGAGTTCAAATTCCAGTCAAATTCATTACATTCACTTAAGAGCTAATACCATTGGGAAATGTGTGAATCCTCTTCTGCTCCCTCCAGCTATGGGGTTATATATATATATATATATATATATATATAGTTAACAAATTTAATGGTATATAATTCAAGTGGATCCTAGTAATATAAAATATTAAAACTGATCCACAAAAAGAGCTCAGTGTATTTATTATTACAGAGAAAATAATTAATAAAATTAATAATAATAATAATACAATAAAATAATATTATTAAATAATAATTATTGATAATAATACAATAAAATCCAAAATCACCTCATATGAGAAATAGCCTATTTTGGCAGATGAAGATATGAGTCATCTGCCTTATCAAGCCCCATGTAAACTGTTTGTGTCAGAAATAGAAATTTAAATGTGAAAGAATTAAATGTATATATATATATATATATATATATATATATATATATTGCAGGCTCTATGATGAGAGAAGTTTTGCATAAAGTTACAATTTCAGCCTTGCCTAATCTACTGGTTCTCAGTTGGCTAGAGTGTGCCAGGTCTAACAGCAACTCCCTCTGCCCAAGGAGATGCATGTTCATATCTGGCTGCATTTTCTTTAATAAGTTTTTTTCAAACATTCAGACCAGTAGACAAAAATAAATATATACAGTGTTTAATAAATAAAAGCATTTACTCAAATACAAGTATCCACTCAAAATAATGTTTAAAATGAGAAAAAAAAAATTGTTGTATTTATAAAAATCCATTACTTTCTTTAGGAAAAATACACACACACATATATATATGTTTCATAAAATAGCAATTCATGTGAAGAAGGTGCTTAAGTGGAAATTACATCTCACCAATGGAATACAAAGGGAATGAGGGTGGTCCACTACAATAGCTATGAAGTTTAGAACTGGTGAAACTAAGGAATATAGTTCATTTAAACACTTGCATTGGAAATAGTGATAGAGAAGTAAAAGATATGTGATGTTTCCTCTGTGAGAAAGAGGTTGTAGATATATAGAAAGATATAATTATTGACAATCATTTACTATGAAATCAAAACAAAAAAATTCCCACTATCATTTCACAATGCCTTTGTACTCCAGGCGTATAAGAATTTTCAAATAACAAAAGTGGATGTGTTCCTCATCAAAATGCCAAAATCAAATAAAACTCCAATTTATTTCACTTCATTTCAAACTGAATAATCATAGAATGAACTAATAAATGAAAGGAAATCACTGCATTCTATTTAGGTGGAGCAGGACCATAAGAAAATGCATTTGTGTGAATACAAGACATTGAAAACTCCCACATTTCAAAGCAGCAAAATTTGGCCCAAATTGACCCATCAATAGCAGGATGGTATATTCATCAGGCAGGTTGTTTTTTTTTTTTGGTAGAAGGTTTAGAATGTTTTAAAATCACTGTTCATTCAAGAAAGCAGTGGATAATTGAGATTGAGTAAATAGTGGCTGAGTCCAGCACTGGAAACTTTTTCACCAAGAATTTTGTCTGAACCACCTGCAGCCAACTATCAAACATAGGAGACATTTTGTTATGTTGTATGGAGGAATTTCCAGCCTAACTCAATGAAACACATATCTATTCTGCAGGAAGGGAATTCTTCTTAAATTAGCTCATGTTTATTTGGTTCCATTTTCATGGAATCAAAAGAGTGAACCAATTTTAAGAAGAAGAAATAATAATAATAAAACTAAGAAAATACATGAAAATTACAAGAATTTCATGTTTTTACATGCTAGCAGAAAATCTGCCAAAAACTGTTCCTTGATGATCAGTACCTGGCAGTAACTTAGTTCTCATAATTCAATGGAGAAAAGATTATCTGGCATCAGTCAGTATATCTAAAACTAAACTAGTAATACATTTCATCACCACTTGATAAGTGGGCATGGTTTCAAAGAGGCCCTTGAATACTAACTGGGTGTAAAGATCACTCCTGGTTTCAATATTTTCATAGCAACTACTCTGACAAGCTTTTTCCCCTTGTGCCCTGAATACATGTATTAAAGCATGCCACTAGATTAGCAATTAGGTCCCACCATCTGACTGTTGAAATAACTAAATGTAAATGCCACTTCTACTCCAGCAGTTTATTTTCTTGCACTTCCCACCTGTGGAACTCCTTTCCATTCCCTTGCTGTTATTCCCTTCTGTTATTATTATCAGAAAACAATGGAATGGAACTCCTTTCCATTCCCTTGCTTTTCTGATAATAATAATAATAACAGAACTAAGAAAATACATGAAAATTACAAGAATTTTATGTTTTTTCGTGCTAGCAAAAATTCTGCCAAAAACTTTTCCTTGATGATCAGTACCTAGCAACTGATCTAACTTAGTTCTCATAATTCAATGGAGAAAAGATTATCTGGCATCAGTCAGTATATCTAAAACCAAACTAGTAATACATTTCATCACCACATGAATCAATCTTCAAAAATTTAAATGCAGCATCAATTGCCGTCTTCTGTCTTCTTGAACCTTATTCCTTTTTTTTTTTTGTCCTTCCCTCAATCCTCCCTATTATTAGCCCTCTCTTTCACCCTCATTCTCTGTAACCCCTTGCAATCTAGTGACATTACCACCTTTCTTGGGGTGAAATAAGTTTTAAAAAAAAAAAAAAAGAGAGAGAAAAATGAAAATGGAATATATTCTTGACATCATATAAGATGCGGGAAGAATGGTCAATTCCTTGAATCAGTCCAAAAAATACCTAACCTCTTCTGCTATGCTATATCATTATAAGAGATCAGCCAACAGTGAAATGCCATTGAGTGTGCTTGTGTATTGTGTGTTGGTCACATTCAAAATGACATCACATGCATGGTTTTTTTCACAGAATATCATATCCTCCTAGGTCTTTCAGCTTAGCTACAATTCGTATTTGGCTCTATCTCTTCCCAAAGTAAAATTACCATTGAAATGGAGATTTTGGTCGATGAAGACAATTAACCAATGAGTAGAATGCAAGAAGGTACCTAATGGTGATTCTGGAAGAGTACTTGGCAGTTTTAAAAAGTTAAATGGACACTAATGTGAGAAATCCTAAGATAAGTACTTTGACTCTAAGGAATGTGCCATTACCCTAGGCAGGACTAGTTTTCATTAATATTAATTGATTGAATACCTTCCAGACTGTTCTCATATATCTTAACATATTTTTTTCTTCATATTATTTATTGTCAGTGATAATTCTTATTTTTATATGTTATGGCTATTGTTTCTTTATGTTCAGTGCCAAAAACTGCATGACCTGAGATGAAGAACCTCAGGGAAATTACCAAGTGAAATGAAAAAGAAAGAAACGAAGGAAAAGATTGTCAAAGAAAACAAAACTAAAAAAAAACAAAAAAAAAAAAACACTACAAGAAATATGTCAAGAAGATATTCTGAATATAATCGAAAAATCGACATCTTCAAAGTTGGCATCATCTTACTTTGTTTCTTGAGTTCTTCATGAGCAATTGCAGGGTGAAGCAGTTCCACATCATAGTTGGCAGATGAACTAGCATTTTGTTCTTC